AACGAATTTCCCCTCGCGGGATCAATAAAGTATACATTATTATTATTATTATTATAACGTCAGATAACCATATTTACAGTCTGCGGTTAACCACTGAGGTGAACCTTTAGCTTCTAACATCACACAAACTCATTATTTTCAACAACAACATCTTAACAACTAACATTTCTAAACCATTGTAAATAATGAGCTACATTGAGTACAGTTAGCTGATTGGTTTACAAGCTAACGCTAAACCAGCTAGGTCCGTAAATATAAATACCGACACGAGTATGCAGTAAATATAACACTACTGTATCACTTACCGAAAAAAACTGAAGCATCAACTTCTTGGATGGTCTGTTAACCGCACAGCAAGCCATGTATGTTGTCAGATATGTGTTAAACAAACTCTCCAAACGAAGTAAAAAAGAAGAGAAATCAGACGGATCAAGCAGCTAGCCTCCTGACCTGCTGCTGAACTGACAGACAGATGCAGCGCGCAGAGTTGTCAATCAAATCTGCCACAACCCTTATATGGGCATAGCCGTTTTCCTTAATAGAATAAAACCCGATGAGTTGTAAACCCCCCCCCCCCCCCCCCACAGTGTGAGGAGAAGGGTCCGTCAACTTATCAGATATATCTCATTTTTTGAACCAGGCTGTAAACATGTTAGTTCCTGTGGTAAAAACAGGCTTTTTTGGCTGTGGGCTTATGGTACTTCCGACACTTCTGCAGCCAGCCTCAAGCAGAACCTCGAGGAACTGCAGTTTTTTGTACTTCCGCATTGGCTTCATTTTTTGAGACCGGAAGTTGCCCCTTGGTGTGTTCCCCACCGCATTCAAGCAAGCTCGGGTCACCCCTCTGCTCAAAAAACCCACACTAAACCCAACCCAGGTTGAAAACTACAGACCGGTTTCTCTTCTGCCCTTTCTGTCAAAAATACTTGAGCGCACAGTCTTTAAGCAAGTCTCTGAGTTCCTGTCCAGAAACGATCTGTTTGACCCAAATCAGTCAGGCTTTAAGCGGGGCCACTCTACTGAAACTGCACTACTGTCAGTAACAGAATCACTACGAGCTGCCAGAGCTGGGGGTCAGTCCTCAGTTCTATTAAGCCCAATTCACACATACTCCGTGTGAGCCACCGACGGCACTGCGCTCTGCTTCTTTTCAAATACGCAGCAAGTCTATTTTCGCCGGAGTACGCTGCAAGTTTGCGTCAAGCTGGACAGAATATGACAGCCCGGACAGGAAGTCAGACAAGGAAACGCACAGAGCATCCGGTCAATTTCAAAATAAAACACAATATACGGTCATCACTTTATCAACATTACGTCAAAACAGGAACCAAATTAACAACAATGCATCTTCAGAAAGACAAAGCAACATGTTGTTTGCATGTTTTTCTCTTTATTCCCGCGGGATCTTGTAGTTCTCCTGTGATGTGTCATGGGTGCGCTCCGCTGCGCTGACGTCGCAGAAACAGATCCAGTGTGAATTGGCGCGAGCCGTCCGACGGAGTAAACCCGTGGCGCTGACGGACCGCGGCACGCACGGAGTATGTGTGAATTGCGGGCTACTGCTAGACCTGTTTGCTGCCTTTGACACAGTCAACCATCAAATCCTCCTATCCATGCTCTCTGAACTTGGCATCTCAGGATCTGCCCTCTGCTGGTTCGTGTCCTACTTCTCTGGGCGATCCTTTAGAGTGTCGTGGAAGGGAGAAGTGTCCAAAGCGCACAGCTTATCCACAGGGGCACCTCAAGGGTCAGTGCTTGGTCCCCTTCTCTTCTCCATATACACAAGCTCACTTCGTTCAATAATCCGCTCTCATGGCTTCTCATACCACTGCTATGCTGACGATACCCAGCTCTTTCTGTCATTCCCGCCAGACGATGTTACAGTCTCTGCAAGAATCTCATCATGCCTTGCTGATATCTCTAAATGTATGAATGAACGGCACCTTCAACTCAATCTTTCAAACACTGAGCTCCTTGTCATCCCAGCCAGTCCCTCTAAGCAAACACAGAATAAATATCTAGCTTGGAACAACCAAACTCATGCCCACAAAGTCTGCCCGGAACCTGGGTGTCATGATTGATGACCAGCTAACTTTTAAGGTTCAAGTAGCCTTGATTGCCCGGTTATGTCGATTTGCCCTGTACAACATCAAGAAGATCAGACCTTACCTGTCAGAACATGCTACACAGCTCCTGGTACAGGCTCTTGTGATATCACGCATCGACTATTGCAACTCTCTATTGGCAGGTCTTCCTACATGCACTATCAAACCTCTGCAAATGATACAAAATGCAGCAGCACGACTGGTCTTCAACCTTCCTAAAAGAGCACATGTCACTCCGCTGTTCATCTCCTTACACTGGCTCCCAGTTACTGCTCGCATCAAATTTAAAACTCTGCTGCTCGCTTACAAAACAGCAACAAAAACGGCTCCTCCTTACTTTAACTCTCTCATCCAGGTCTACACTCCCTCCCGCCCACTACGCTCTGCCAATGAGAGGCGTCTGATCCAACCTTCACAACAGGGCCCAGGGGTTCAAACTGCAGTATTGTTGTTGCTGATAAAATGGTTATCCTGTTTTGATCAGAGTTATCAAACGTCATTGTCATCTCCAGCTCTTCTGTGGAAAGAGGCTTGTGATAGTGATTATTCCCACATTGGGGTAACTTTTTTTTTTTTTTTTGTTATTCTGACTCGCACATCAATGTTGTGCTTTGCCTCTGTGCAATGCCTGTTAGCACCTGTGTGTCCAATCGGACTCAAAGCTGATCATTTGCTCTTACTGACATTGTTCCCTTTTTTCTAGATCCTTGCTTGTGTTGTACTTACTCTCTGATGTACGTCGCTTTGGATAAAACCGTCTGCTAAGTGAATTGTAGAATTGTAGAATGTCTGATGTTTGACCAACAAAACCCTTCTTTTTGAGGGAGGGCAAGACCACCTCCTTCCCCCTCATCCCAGATATTGTGGTTGCTGGGAGGACGTTTCAGCATTCTTTTCTATTTCCTCCTTCCTGGCCGCCAGAGGCAGTGCTTTAAGCACTGAATGATATGATATCGCACAAAGTGTACTATGGGAGGTAAAGCCTTCAGTTATCAGGCTCCTCTCCTCTGGAACCACCTTCCAGCAGGGGTCCAGGAGGCAGACACAGTCTGTATTTTTAAGAATAGACTTAAAACTTTCCTTTTTGATAAATCTTATAGTTAGGGCTGGTGCTGGTGTAGACCAGCTCTTAGTTGGTCTACACCTTGCTGCTATAGGCTTAGACTACCGGGGGAACTGGCACCTTGAGCTCCTCTCTCTCTCTCCCTCTCTCTCTCTCTGTGCATATACAGTACATCATATTACTGCATGTATTTATCTGTAAATCTCAGTCACTAACCACCTACTTTCCTGGGAGCTCTTGAGCTCTCTTAGGCTCCTCAAGATCGTTGGTTGACGGCCTGCCAGAACAACAAGATTTCTGCCTTTTAATAAGGCAGTTTTTTCTTACCACTGTAACTTTTGCTGCTTTGCTAAAGTGCTCATGATGGATAGGCCGGATCTTTGTAACATAGCAATAAGTAAGGTATTTTACCTGCTTTTTGTAACATAACAATGAGTAAGGTCTTTTTACCTGCTCTTTTGTAATGTTAACAGACAAAGAGTAAGGTATTTTACCTGCTTTTTGTGAAGTGTCTCGAGATAACACTTGTTATGAGTTGAGGCTATACAAATAAAAATTGATTGATTGATTGATTGATTGAAAGTCATGTGTGAACCCTGATGACCCTGACTTGTCATTATCTTCCGGTGTCATCAGAAGATCTTTTTCCCTTCGCGCTTCTCACATCTTCTCACTCACAGGCGTTGGACTATTGTAGTAGCATTAACTTTGAGCTTGTCGCTGGTAGCCCTGTGACCATTGTCAGAGTTGCGTCTTTTCAGTCGCCCTCCAAGGGATGTGACAATCAACCTTTTGGCTTTTTCTTGGGATCGCCATCCAATAAAGTGAGTATCACAGTTTTTGGTTGTTGACCGTAGTGTGTTTTTGACACATCCAACATACTCGAGGGTGAAGGCGGTGTTTGCGCTCCCACTCCCCGCTAAGACGTGTCTAGTTTTGTTGGTTGACTACAGCGCTTCTACTTACAGTAAATTTATAGAATTTGAGTTGTACCTGTTAATCTTTCATTGACCCTTTTTCGGTGAAGAGAGTGTGTGCGCTCCCTCTCCTGACAGACATTTCCACCTTAGCCCAGGGGTACAGACTGCAGTTCCTAGAGCTGCCTTAAGGCCTTTCCAGACCATCACTTGTCTGGGTGTGGATCTGGACGTCAGCTGCAACCAGAGTGCCTTTAAGTCTGCTGTCGCTATGCCCTCTCCAAAGGTGGCTCAACGGCTTCCATCTGGATACAAATGAATATAGGCACAGGAATTGTGAAGAAGAATCTCAGATTTTTTGGGGGGACTTCGGACGTTTTTAGAGAACTGAGCCAAAGTAGCTGGGAAACATTGTAAAGGTTCTTCTTGAGTCTGAGCCTTTTGCAGGAGAAGCATCATATGTAATGGCAACTTCAAAAAGACTTTCAAAATCAATGAAAAACCTTACTATTTCATGCAGTTCTAAGTCGTGGCCACTAGAGTTCACATTGAGCCCACATTTTGAAGCAGTGTCATGAAGAGCGAGTCCTAGACTGTGAATTCACATTGTGTAACAGTGTTGTGGGAGCACAAAGTGGGAGCGCCAAACACACATACACTCAGACACACACAAACACAGTGCTGTTCTCCCCTGCTGGCTTCACCAATTCCGTCTGGAATGCTCTCTGTAATGCCTCTGTTACTCCCCCGGAAGAGCAGAAGTGGGATCGGGCACCTTGAATCGGCCGTTGAGTACGGCCAACAAATCAAGTCTGCAGGGGACTTAGTTCATCAGCAGCATGTTTTATTAAATCACCTTCAAAACATAACTCGACATTTTATTCATTCAACAGCAGCTGAGCCATATTAGGAGGAAGCTTGTTGTTAATTAAGTGATGTATCAAAGTGATCAAAACCAACGTGATTACCAGATTACATCAGGTACAAAGAGCTGCACTTCTTACAACACAGCACAGGTTGATGTTTCTTTCTTTTCAAAATATTTTTATTGAGTTTTAGAAACAATAACATTAAACAAACAAAAAGAGGGTTGGGCAGGCACATTACACATTACCACATAGTATACAGTAAGGTACAGCAATAAAAATAAACAGAATCCTGTGGCAGTAACAGTAATAGCGGATGTAGTACAAAAACCCTTCCCCCCCCATCCACCCACCCATCATCCCACATACATTTCCTGGATAATAACAAAGGCACAAAGACTAGTATTTCAGGTTTGTGTCAAGCTAATGAGGTTTTGTTGTTAAGGAAGTAGGATACGAAGGGTTCCCAGGTCTTAAAAAACTTTTTCTCAGAACCACAGACAGAAAAGTATAGCACCTCAGTTTGAGACAGGACATTACATCCCGAAGCCATTGGCCAAGAGTGGGCGAGGAAGCATCCTTCCACTTAAGCAAGATGCACACCTAGCCAAGAGCAGAGCAAAGACAACCACACTGTGCTCAGCAGATGTCAGGTGTTGGTCAGCAATGCCAAACAAAGCGACAATAGGGTCTGGGTCTATAGTCTTATCTAATATTTTAGATAGTATAGTATAGATAGTAGAGTATAGAAGACAGCTGTCCAGTATTGTTGTAGGCGAGTATAAAGCAACTACATGTGGATCGGAGTAGCATCACCGTTTTTGCATTTATCGCAGGTGGGAGTTATACAAGGGTAGATGCTAGCTAACTTGACCTTAGACATGTGGGCCCTATGGACCCACTTAAATTGCAGTAGGCAATGTCTTGCGCAGAGTGAAGACTTCGGTGTTTGATAGAAGAGCAGAGTCCCACTGATCATCAGATCTATGTCCTAAGTCTGGTTTCCATGCTGCCCTAATCTTGTCCAGAGGTGAACATGTCAGCATTGAGATGTTACTATACAATTTGGACAGTGCATCTCTAAACAGTGGGTTAAAGGAAAGAAAAGCGAAAACAGGGTTGGTGCCAGGTTCTGAAGGGAAACAAAGTAGCTTTGAACGAATATACAGTCGGGCCTGCATATATCGAGAAATGTGTTTTTGGTATTTCTCAGATAGTTGATTAAAAGAAACAAAGCATTTATCTTGAAACATGTCTTTAAAACACTTGATACCTTTCCTGTGCCAAATATTAAAAGTTTTGTCAAATTGCGAGGGGATGAAAAGATGATTGGAGGCGACTGGACTCAGGAGGGAAAAGTCGCTGTGACCAAACCCCTTCCTAAACTTGGCTCAAATTTTGAGGAAGTGACATACAACCGGGTTACCTATTTATTATGGTAGCGACTAACAGATTTGTGAACCAATGAGTGCTGGAAGGGAGACATCCTGGCATTAGTTCAGCTCCAGCGATACCCAATCCGGGCTGCTGGGCTGTAAAAAAAAATGGGTCCAGAAAGCAAGGCAACTGATATGTCCAATTTATCCTTTACTTCATTCACAAGCTCTTTAATTTCTGAGTTCACTTAACAGGAACGGGAGAGGCAGAGCGAGCAGAGTGTGCACTAATTAATCAATTAGGGATATTGTTGACTCTCCGAAAATAAATCTATATATTAACTTTCGTCTTTTAATGTATAATTCTAATTAATAGAACTTTGTGGTCACAAATTGGTTTGTTTTCAGAGATTGTAAAGAAAAAGAAAAAAAGACCAAATGAAACCAGGTTCCTGGTGGAGGAGGTGGTCGAGTGTGGAGGAGTCTCAGTGTGTCTGCAGAGAGTGTAGCATGACAAAGCAGCAGCAGAGCAGTCCATGAACTCTGATGATACTCTGTAACATCAGGAGGAACACTCAGGGTTAATGCTGGACTCAACTTTGAGTGTGACAGTGAAGCTGCTGCTTCATCCTCTGTGGATCATCAGGACACAGCTCACATTATGACAGAGATCCTCCCCATCTAATGAGAGAAGAAGACAGATCACAGAAATCATAAATCATTTTACATTGAGTTATGGCAGCTTCACGTCCACACACATTCAGACACACGGCGTTGTTCTGTCCTACCAGCTCTGACAGCTGACATTTCACTTGTTACTCCCTCTGCCGATGGCTCAGCTGCAGAACAACATGGCCTCCATGACTTTCACTCAGACAGCCATTTGTAACAGTCCCATCTTGTTCTCTGGTGAATTTCTCCTCAGAGAACAAACGAACGTCCAAGCTTTGGTTGACCCCAGTATTTGTTAGATCGAAACCTGAGCAGAAAACATTTGTTCAGAAAGAGATGAACTCTAGAAAAGAAGCTCTGTGACAGGACATAAGGAAAATACAGAGAACGATCTGTTCCACAGCTGACTGTCTGATGGTCTTAGTGAAACTGGACTCACAGACTGGGACATGGACTCCACTTTGAATGTAAGCAGTTTCATGGCGTCTGAGACCGGATGGTGAAAGTGAAGTGGGAAAACTCACAGGGAGGAGAGTTAGGCTTGTTGATCAATCACTGTGGTGCAGTAGTGTTCCTGGGAGTGAGTGACTGTGTTTCAACACATCTCTTTTCATGCTCTGAAGATCAGGTCTTTGTATTCACTGCAATCTGGACAAAACTGGAAAGAGTTCCTAATAAGCAGCTTGACTGTGAAGATCCTAGTCTATTTTTCCTCTTTTTCCCTCCGTGTGTTTTCTTGTTTGTCCTGTGTGTTCACCTGGAACTGGGTGTGGATCCACACACCTGGCCAGCACTCAAGTCTGCAAACCTGCTGTTCATGTCCAATCAAGCCACCTACACACTCCACAGTATAAAGGCTGGCTCAGTCTTCCACTGGACGCCAGATTGTCTGTTTACCCACCGTGGTATTCCTCAGTAAGGCTTTTGTAACATATTTTTCCAAACTTAAGATTCGCTTTGCTAATTTTGTCTTTTCCTGTGTCTAGATCTGGTACCTCATCTTCAGCATTCCACACCAAGTTCCACGACCGCACCTCTGCTTCATCACTGACTCTGAGACCGGATACTTTAAACAACAAAGAAACCAATTCACATACCTCAGAACTCCAGCCAATATCCAACAGACTTCAATAAATAACTTTTGAACTTTATTCAAAGACTGTTTTGTGTCTGTATTGTGGGTCCGCCTGCATTCATTACAACATTGACAAGTTGATTAAAAAAAAGTTGGTTCTGTTTCAGGCAGGCGTCTTGACTCACTGGAGGATTGAGGTGGAGAGACACGTGTGAAGAAGAGGACAGATTATATTGGACAATGTTAACCATCCTCTCCTCGACATCATGGCAGGCCAGAGAAGTAGCTGCAGTGGACGGGTAATTTCACTACCCTGCAGGACTTAGAGGTTCAGGAGATCCTTTGTCCCCACAGACATTAGGCTTCATAACACACAGGCCAACGGTAGCAGCTCATGACTGGAGCTGTGGGTAAACCGTCACTGCCTGCCTTTCCTTCTCTTTCTCCTGAACACTCTCTCACCCCGGGGATTGGTGCAATAATAAGAACTATTTAGGACTGCGGAGACTTTTACTGTTTTAATTATATGTTCATTTCATCTATGCAGTTTTTGATTATTCATGACTCTGTTTGGAGTCCTGTTTTTAAAACATTGTTTTCTTTAATGTTTATTCATTGTTTTAACTTTTATGTGTGAGCTATGGGATACTCCTGCATTTACCCCAGGGGATGAATATAGTATCTCTCCATCTTTCCATCTATCCATCTCTCCATCCATCTCTCCGTCTCTATAGGATACATCAAAATGCCTGCACCTTCAGTCACTAGTGACTGCAGCTTTCAACCAGGAGAAGATGTCATCAGGTGGTCACCACCTTTCACCAGATGTTTCAACCTTAAACCACAACATCCTCCAGGTAGGCGGGTCTGCCGTGATGGCCAGTCACTGCCCATCTTCTTCTGGCTTCCAGCTCATCTCCTTCTGCCTGAACCAAAGCCAGCAAGTCAGTCTCTCTGCTGCCTCCCCCAACCTACTAGCAGCTGCCTTCCTCAGGGCTGCAAGTGTGTTCCATACAGACTGCACAGGGAAACCCCTGCAGCCAACTTCCACTAGGAATAGCCAGGCCTGCCACCCTTTTTCCCTGCACTTTTGGACCCTGAGTATTTGGTATGAGATGGCATCACTGTGGCATTTTAAAAAAACACAACCTTTTCACCTTTGACAATTTTATGAATTTTAGTCATCTTAAACTGTTTTTTAAATGTGTAAATAATCATGTGTCACCACTGTTATCTGAATTAGCCATTAGGCGTCAGAGCTCTTGTAGGGCAGTCACACAAGCCTCCATCAGGTGTGATTTTCTTGTCCCAATGTACAAGACATCTTTTGGGCAGTCTGCTCTGCAAAGGGGGCAAAACTTTGGAGCTCTCTGCCCACTGGCATACAATTAGAGAGCAACAGTAATGCTTTTAACAGAGGACTCAAACAATGGCTAAAATCAAAACAACAGTGCTCACATGACTAGCTTCTGACTGGTTTATTGTTTGATCATACTACCTTTGCTCTACGGTTTAAGTCTATTTATTTATTCTCTACTTATTGTATTCTCTGTTTTATCGCTTTTCTCCCTATCTTAATTGTTTTCCTTTCAAAAGCCTCCTGTGGACAGGTGTTGAGAACTAGCATGCTTGCTAAAACACTTAAACAATGCATCTGGTTCATCCAATGTATCTGTGATGTCCATGCCAAATAAAGTCTATTATTATTATTATCCTCCCATGGGATGGTCAGTTACAATCAGGATCATCTTCTTTCCCTCCTCGGACCATAGGACCACATCAGGCCTCAGGGATGTTTGGAGGACCTCAGGGAAGTGGAGCTTATTTCCAAGGTCCACCCTCACCTGCCATTCATGGGCCATCTACAGGAGGCTCTTCCCCTCCCTCACAAACTTTATTGATGTTATTGGTCTCTCATGGGTATGGTATTTCCTTTGCCTCTCCCGCTTTAAGATCTCGGCGTGTACCCTGAAGACATTGTTGTGGCTTCACATGTATCTCCCCTGGATTAGTGTGGTCTTGCACCCAGACAGTATGTGTGCAAGTGTTCCTCTCTCTCCACATAACCTGTACAGTGGGTTCTCCTTCATTCCCCACCTGTGCAGGTTTGTCGGAGTTGGAAGGGTGTCATACACTGACCGAAGCAGGAAAGAGATGCGGAAGGGCTCCAGAGTTCAGGCCAGGTCACCTTCCGCTTGGGCAGATTCCACCTCGTCCAACCTCTTTGTGATCTGAGCTCCACTGCCTTTTGCCTTTGTCTTCCTCCTCCAGGTTTTGGACCTCAGCTTGTACCAAGACTCTTCTTCGCCTTGGGTCAGCTTTTCCCCACTGTTGGAAGTGGGCGGTTCCAAGTCCTTGCCTACCTGTGCAGGGCGTCCCGATGATGTCTTTCAACCTCAGCGAAACTTCTGCCTGTGCCACTGTTTAGTCAGCAGCCCATTTACGTCCGGATCTTGTGGTGACACTTGCGCCTGTGGTCTTACCATCACTAATAAACTCCTCAAAAAAAGTTTGGAAACGTTATTTTGGTCACTTATTTTGCCCCTTTAATAATACTAATTGGTGTTGTATTATATATCATTGAAAAGCCTGATCAGTCACCTTTACAAGAGATATAACTCGTAAGGATCGTGATGTTCATGGAATGTGCAACACAGCTAAATGTGTGAGTGGCGCTCTAAAAAAATGTGCCAAAATCCCCTGCAATGTTCTTCTGTTGGTATTCACTCCTGTTTTGAGCTTCAAGTGCTGCCAGGTGTGTGCCAGTTACAGGTGTATGACTGACACCTGATTGGCACCTAATTGATAGCACTTGTGGGATCATCTTAGGCATGCTGTTCATGCCAGAGTGACCAACACAACCACGCTGGTTGACCTTTGTTGAAAGATCAGAAAGAGTTATGCAATTGTTGAATTTGTTTTTTCCTTTTATTATCATTTAATTCTTTCATCATTTAATACATAGTTCATAACCTTTTTCTGCTTTCAACATTTCCTGTTAAACTTACACACTCTTAGTGCATACACTCCTGTGAGGTCAAGATAAGTGTGCCATACATTGAAGCAAGACCACATAGGAGCTTGTAGGCGTATAGCGTTTCTGAGTATCAGCTCTTCTGTGTATCTGCTCGATTCACGGTCTTTGAGCTGAAACCACATACGATCTTGATATTATGTCATGAACTTGGCATGACCTGTGGATACATCACGTTTCTGCGAACGTGCATTGTTGAGGTGTTACAGGATCTTGAAAAAAGAGAGACTTTTTGGCTATAAAAACCCTGTAGAAAATCTGATCGGGGTTCCTTTTTGCTTTGCTAAACGAATACACATCACTGACGTTTGAAATCCCATTTTGGGACTTAGTCTCTGAGCCAAGATCTTTTAAAACCTCAAATGTCTACACTCACAGGTTTAGACTTTGGTCTTTGAGTTTTGCTTTTCTTTTCCAGTTTTTATATTACTTTTAATGTTTTGTATTTGCATTTGGAATATCATTTGAAATTTTTTAATACATTTTCGGAAACTTTTTGAAATAATTTTCTAACTGAAATCATTTACACCACAAAGACTGGAAGTTCCCCTTAAGGACCCCATGTACCTTGGAAGGTAAGTTTTGAGCAGTCACACCACGGCACACTTGTCTTACTGATTTATATACACATCCCATACACACCTAACATCCTAGCGGGGGGAGTTCACAGTTATTCCCTCTCCAGGGTGTAATCTAGAGTCCTATACCAGGGGTTATCCTTAAATCTAACTATTCTAGAAATGAATGTTAGGCAGATAATCCTGGGGCTGTGATTATAACTTGTTCATCTGTCTTCCAAAGGGTGTTAGAGGAGTAATTTTACATAGCTCCTTCCACTAGGAAAGAGTAGACTAGCAGGTTAGTAGGGAGTGAGCTATCATTTAGTTCAATAATTAGTTAACTAATGTGTGGTGAGCTTCCGTTAGCTATAGTAAAGTTATTCACCCCTTTTTGCATGAGGAGGAGGGGCCAAGCTGTTGTGGCTGTGTATGGATCTTCCACACGCTACTGAGGTCCCTGACAGTGTAAAATGAATAAAATGTAAAAAAAAACATATTACTGTGGGTGAGTGCAGTCATCCATTCCACCAAGCAACTCAAAACAGGAGTGAATACCAACAGAAGAACATTGCAGGGGATTTTTGGCACATTTTGGCATGTTACCCACGCGTTTAGCTGTGTTGCACATTCTACGATTGCATGATCCTTACAAGTTATAAAAGTGACTAATCAGGCTTTCCAACGATATAAAATACAACACCAATTAGTATTATTAAAGGGGCCAAATAATTGACCAAAATTATGTTTCCAAACTTTTTTTGAGGAGTTTATTATCACGGCCCTTATCTTTGCCACCTTGTACTCCTCGACCACTGATGATAGGGGAAGCTGTCACTGCCCAGATCTAATGTAAAGCCCCACTTACGTAAAGCTAGGTGGAACCCCCAGGCACCTGTGAAGGTGTTTGTTTACTCGTCTCTCTATCCCTTCCACATATGTCATGGGCATGTTGTAAATTGAGAGTAGCCACATAAGTCTTGGAATCAGACCTTGTTGGAAGAGCCAGGCCTTGAACTTTCCAGGTAAGCCAGAGCTTGAACTTTCCAGGTAAGCCGGAGCCCTCTATCTTCCTTAGCCATTCCCGTGTTGGGGTTTTGTGGAGCAAATACACGGGCAACAAATATGTTGAGTTTTATATAGTCAAATTTGGTTATATGAATTAATATTAATAATTATCCTTAATGAATTATTAATATGAATTAACAATATTATTAAACTAAGTAAATAAATTTGGGGCACCGCTCTGAGATCAGCGAACAATAACCAAATATCATCGAAATCAGTCTCAATTAGTTAATTAAAAATGAATATTCTGAATAATTATTAATTAATTAATTAATAAAAAACAAAAATAATCTAAATATAATTTATTTATGACCCGATATGTGGAGGGTTTACTAAAAAAACACAGTGACTGACCTCAGAGTCTCCAGTCGATAGTTTGGATTCTTCTCAAGATCACGCAGCAGCTTCACTCCTGAATCCTGCAGCTTGTAGTTGTAGTCCAGGTCCAGCTCTCTAAGATGGGAAGGGTTGGACTTCAGAGCTGAGGCCAGAGAAGAACAGCTGATCTCTGACAAACTGCAGCGAATCAATCTGAGTAAAGAATAAAAGATGAAGAAAAAATAATCTATAATCACATTTGTTCAGGTTGTGATAAGTATCGCAACATCACTTGGTCCCTTTGTCCTGATTAATTAATTAGCTTTTGGAATGCGCCCCTATTACTTACGTGTGCCATTGTTATAGCTGTTTATCTCCCACCGTCAACAGTTTCATAGCTTCAAACTAAGCATCCAAATGCCTTTGTAGCCATTACCGGGGACTTTAATCATGTAAATATGGACAAAACACTAACCACTTTTATATCAATATTCTAACTGTCCAACTAGAGAAAATAAAACACTGGACCTTCTGTATGCTAACATTAAGGAAGCATACAGTACCACTGCCCTTCCCCCCCTGGGCAGATCAGACCGCAACCTGGTCCTACTGACACCAGAGTATATCCCCTGGTTCAAAGGCAATCTGTGGCAACCACAAGGACTGTTAGGAGGTGGACACAGGAGAGTAACGAGGCACTTCAGGACTGCTTTGAGTCCACAGACTGGGATGTACTTTGTGAGCCACATGGTGAGGACATTAACAGCATGACTGACTGCATCACAGAATACATTAAATTCAGTGAAAACACTGCTTTACCGACCCGGACTGTACGCTGTTTTCCAAATAACAAATGCTGGATCACCACTGACCTAAAAGCCCTTCTCAACAAAAAGAAACACGCCTTCAGGTCTGGAAACAGGTAGGAGCTGAGGAGGATACAACATGATCTGAGGGAGAAGCTGAGAGAGTGCAAGGACTCATACAGTGTACAAGAAGGGGATGAGCAGACTCTACTTTCTGAGGAAGCTGAGATCCTTCAATGTGTGCAGCAAGATGTTCAGTCTGTTGTGGCCAGTGCACTGTTCTCTGCTGTGGTCTGTTGGGGGAGCAGCATTGGAGCTGGTGACATTAAGAGACTGGACAAGCTTATTAAGAAGGCCTGCTCTGTGACAGTTTGAAAGCTGGACTCTTTTGTAGTGGTGACAGAGAGGAGGACTCTTAACAAACTGTTATCCATTATGGAAAATCCTGAGCACCCTCTGCACCACCTACTGAACAGACAGTGGAGCAGCTTTTCTAACAGACTGATCCAACTCCGCTGTCACAAGGACAGATACAGGAAAGCTTTTTTACCGAAGGCCATAACTCTGTACAACAGCTCACCTCTGGCGAGCAGAGAACTGTCATCATGATAAAATTTCTTTCCATACTGTAATCTGTTCTGCTCATACTACATGTAAAGTTTACACATTATCCTTACATTTAAGTTAATGGCATTGTCTGTCTACTCATCATTATAGTTAATAGTTTCAGCTGATAACACCTACACTCTTGCATTTTAATATATGTATCATTGATTGCACAGCTACGAATTTGCACAGCTCTGGACAACCCCCTATATAGCTATTGCACATTTACCACTGTCATCACTGTTATTGTACATTTACACCTGTCATCACTGTGTTTTCACATTTACATCTCTTACCACCATCAAGTATGTTTACAAACAAAATGTTGTATTTAATTTTTAATATTTTGGAATAGTACTAATGTTAAAGGCTTTATATGCGATTTTTTGATCCAGCAGATGTCGCCCTTGAGCACCAGCATGAAACCAAAACAACTTGTGGCGCATTGTTGTGTGCTAATGCTAATGCTAATGATCTTTATTATGCTCGTATCTTCACACTGCATGTAAATTTACCCGAAATGACCGTGATCTAGAAACACATTTAAGTAGTGAGTACAGTATGTTATTCTTCTTTTCTCTAGTCCCTCAATTAAACAACGTTTATTCGCAAGGGGATGAGCCGGCTGGCCATCCCGGTGATGTAAACAAACTGAAGATATGACTCAGAAAACTCAGAAAACATCAGAGACAGTGGGACTCGGGTGTTACACCCATTGCAGACAGTCATTACTCAGAGTTATTTTCAGAGGCTATACTTGATTTCTATTATATTTAAGTGTGAAATTTTTTTTGCATATAAAGCCTTTAAGTTAAATTCCGGATGTCTATATCTCTTCTTATTCTTTATATATTTTAATTGCTTATTTACTTTGTATCTATTCTTATATTGTTTTATTTGCTCTGTTAATCTGCTGCTGTAACACCACAATTTCCCAGTTTGGGATCAATAAAGTAAATCTATCTATCTGTCTGTCACGAATTGTAAGCAACGAATAGAGGTGGACCCAAGTGCAGAATGAACTAAAAGTCTTTAATAAACAAAAACGCAAACAGGCAACAAAAACTTACTTTCAAAAGTTCAACAGAAAACACAGGGATCAAAAACAGGGAGCCACAGAGGAGTACGAGCAAAAACTGACATACCAACAAACGACATAAAAAAGACATACAAACAACAATGAACTGACACAGAGGGGAAGAAACACAGAGACTAAATAGACATTAGGTAATCAGACACAGGTGAGACTAACAAGACACAGGTGAGGACAATCAGGGCAATCACACTGGGAAACACACAGAGGCAGGAATACAAGAAACACAGGACAACTACAAACTAAATCATGAAACACTAAAGACACACAGAACTCAAGAATCTAACAAAACACACGAGAACACAGAGATACACGAGGATAATGAATGACAAAATAAAACAGAAAACACTGAAGACAAAACTAGGAAACACACAAGGGAAACAAGCAACACTGGGATAAAACAGGGAAACTCAAATACAAAACCAAATCATGACACTATCTATCTATCTATCTATCTATCTATCTATCTATCTATCTATAAATTCTGAAATGAGCAACAATTGAGGTTGTGGATTGAAATGATACAAATTAATGAAACAGTCAGTGATCTGACCTCAGAGTCTCCAGTCTGCAGTTTGGACTCTGCAGATAATCACACAGCAGCTTCACTCCTGAATCCTGCAGCTTGTTGTTACTCAGGTGCAGCTCTCTGAGATGGGAGGCGTTGGACTTCAGAGCTGAGGCCAGAGAAGAACAGCTGATCTCTGACAAACTGCAGCCCTTCAATCTAAATAAAGAATAAAACATGTAAATGTAGATGACAGTGAGTTTTATGCATGAATGTGTGATGTTGTCCACATGAACACACTAATGTGATCATCAACTGTTCATTCTAACATTGAAGGACTTTATTAGGATGCATTACTGTACAACTTTAGTTCTTCCTGATCATTCTTAGATTCAAACACTCATAGCTCCTGTGAGAAACTTTCATTCCGTGTCCACTTTGGCAGACACTGCAGGTGTGAAAGCCCCCGGAGCTCTGGATTGTCTAAGAAGGACAATAAAAAACTGCATAAATAAAGACTACTTTTTTGTTTGAAAACAACATGTCATGATCATCTTGATGTTTGATGGCCAAATTATAAAGAGCCGATTTTAATCGATGTTTTAGTGTGACATGCTACTGCCATCTAGTGATTAGGATTTTATTTGACACAGATTCCTTTACAGTCGCATGGCATACTTATACAAAATAAAAGTAAAAGACTGGCTGAGCTCAAATCAGTTATGTCTTTGTTCCCCTGGTCGTGCTGGTAAGCTTGTTTCTTTTTTTTTCTCTCCACTTTTAGCATGGCAAATTGACTCCCTTTAGTAACTCAAGTAAAGTCTTGAGTTTATTTTTCGAGGTTTATGTTCATCATCTTTAGCAAGCCATTTTTCTAACTCAAGCTAACTTAGATTGGCCATCAAAGGTTGTCTCGAGTTAAATTTGTTTCAGCAAGAACCGTTTTTGATCAACTCTGAGCCACTGATATCAGGACGCGACGTCCTCTGCTCATCTGTGATCCTTCCTGTAGTGGGTAGTAGTAGTGGGGCCCACATATCCCATCATGCTTTTGCTGGACTTCATATTTTGTTACATTTTCCGCTTTTCATGTTTCAGAATGCAATCAATCAATTCACAATGCAACTGGGATTCATTGTATTGTTCTGTTCGAAAAAGATGGTTTAGGTAGGTAATATTCAAGTTTTGTTCTTATCTAAAGTCAACCGTCAAAGGTATGTTCAATTTATTCTGCTCAGCTGTGGTCTATCACTTTGACGAAATGCGCATGTGCATGTATCACAGTATACTTGACCGATATTTGAATAGTGCTCTATCCTGGCCAAAGGCAGGATTTGTGCTACCAGTGTAACACATATTGACTTAATTGAAATGGTGTATGACTGGCAAACATACTAGACATCATCTGCGTTTATCGGAGGTAATTTAGCCTGTATTTGTATAATTGTAAGTATGTCTGTTAAATAATGCTGTTTTGGATGTTTGTGTATTACTTAATATTTGTGTAAGGACCCCTTAAAGATGAGATGATGCATCTCAAAGGGCTGACCTCAGAGTTTCCAGTCTGCAGTTTGGACTCTGCAGTCCCTCACACAGCAGCTTCACTCCTGAATCCTGCAGGTAGTTCTGACTCAGGTCCAGCTCTCTGAGATGGGAGAGGTTGGACTTCAGAGCTGAGGCCACGATGTCACAGTGAGCCTCTGAGAGTCCACAGTCAGAAAGTCTGTTGTGACACATATAAGAGAAAAATATTACTTTTAAAAGAAGCGTTTGATATTTACGTTTCACATAATTGAGCAGTTTGACATGTCCTGTTTGGTCAAACATTAGTGGAATCTGTCACTGACACAAAAAGTCTCATCACTCGTTTTCAAACCTGCATATTTTTCATCTTTCAATCATTCACTAAATGTTGCAGATGAATGGAAACAGATTTAGTTTTATTTAGGATTACATAATTTCTTTTTTTTTTAAAGATCTATTTATTCATTCGATAGGTATCATGTTATACAATGATCATTAAGAACCAATTTTTCTTTGTAAGATTTTTCACAAAATTTCCACGACAGAATATCATCGTGGTAATGATGAGCGGCGCTGGCTGGAAGTTTGTGAATAGTTTAGCAAAAAAAACATTTTCTAAAGGACAGTCACTGTGCCTTTGGCTAGCTGATTGGTTATATATATATATTTTTTTTTTCTATAACATGATATGCCCACAACGGCCAGAGATAACTGAACTATGACCAAAAACAAGGAGTTACAGGACATTTTCAATCACTTTCCAAAGGTTTTCCATGACAGCTGGAACCCTGAACTTAACATAATGGTCAACTCTGACATAAAACAAACAGATTTGGAATTTCAGATTTCAGATGGTCCCCTCAAGTTGTACTTAATTTTCTCCAGATTTAAGAACAACATGAGCTCCTTTAACCAGTGAGATGCTTTGGGGGGAAATGGTGACTTCAGTTCCAATAATATTCTACTATGAGCTAAAAGAGATGCAAAGGTGATAAGTCTTTTATTTTCTACTGATTAATAGGATTACATATAGCCTATAGTATGTGATCTAAAGTGTGATCTATTCAGATGACTCTCTCTGGATTAGAAAACCATTTGAAACTCATTGAACAGTAACTCTTGAGGAGGAGGATCTTATTCTTGTGCCGTCTGGCTCACTTCTATAAATGGGAAAATACAGTGACTACTGCGTAATGATCCAGAAATAAAACAAGTCAGCAAAAAATAACATGTAGTGAGGTTAAGGATCTCCTGCCAGAACAGTTTTTGTGTGATCTACCTGCTGAGATTTCAACAGATGATGCTCATGATTGATTTGTAATGCCTGCAGAGGCTCAAAGGGGGCGCTCACGGCATCAGATATATCCCCTTTCAGGGATTAACACTATCAGCCATCTCAGTCAGTTCTTTGGGAATTCCCTCCTGAATGTGTTCACAAAAAACCATCAAAGCAATTTTTGAAATCACGACAAAAAGCTAAAAAAAATCGTGTGAAAAAAACTACGACTGACTTAACAGTGGAACGACTGACTTAACAGTGGAACACTATTGGTGAACAGTGAGGATATTGTTTAGTTTTTATTAAAATTTGTAAATTAGTAAATGACACTGATTTATAATGCTCATCACATCTGGACTTACTCTGCCTTCCTGCAGTTCCTCACAGCTGGAATCAGTCTCAATCGTCCCTGGTCTGATGTGTTGTGCTTCTTCAGGTCCAACTCATCCAGAACCTCCTCAGACATCTGCAGCATGTAGGCCAGAGCAGAGCAGTGGATCTCAGAGATTCTCTTCTTTGATCTGTTCTCTGACTTCAGGTACTCTTGGATCTCCTGATTGACTGAGAGGTCGTTGATCTCCATCAGACAGTGGAAGATGTTGATGCTTCTGTCAGGTGAGATACCATAACTGTTCATATCCTTCAGGTTGTTGATGACTATCTGGATCATTTCTGGACTGTTGTCTGTCTGACCCAGCAGGCCTCCTAAGAGTCTCTGGTTTGACTCCAGAGAAAGACCATGAAGGAAGCGAACAAACAGATCCAGGTGACCGTTCTTACTTTCCAGGGATTTCTCCATGGCTCTACTCAGAAAGACTTTTAAAGAAGTGATGTCAGCGCCGACACCATCATCGCCTTCATGATCACCTTCATGGTCGCCTTCATGGTCGTCGCCTTCGTCATCCCCTTCATCATCGCCTTTGTCGTTGTCACCTTCGTCATCACCTTCATCGCCGTCTTCCTTGTCATCGCTGTTGCCGCCTTTGTCGTCATCGTCTTGTTCACTGTTTATTTGCTCCAGAAAAGCCTTCAGAACTGTTGTGTTCCGGTTGGTGAAACAGTGGAACATGTAGACTGCAGCCAGAAACTCCTGAACGCTCAGATGAACAAAGCAGTAGACTGTTTTCTGCAGGATCACACACTCTGTTTTAAAGATCTCTGTACAAACTCCTGAGTACACCGAGGCCTCTGTGACATCCAGAGCACAGTGCTCTAGGTCTTCTTGGTAGAACATGATGTTTCCTTTCTCCAGATGTTCAAACGCCAGCCTCCCCAGCTTAAGAAGAACTTCTCTGTCGGCCTCCATCAGCTCATGTGGACTCATCTGATGTTCCTCACCATACTTGTGCTTCTTCCTCTTTGTCTGAACCAGCAGGAAGTGTGAGTACATGTCAGTCAGGGTCTTGGGCAGCTCTCCTCTCTGCTCTGTGCTCATCATGTGCTCCAGAACTGTGGCAGTGATCCAGCAGAAGACCGGGATCAGACACATGATGTGGAGGCTCCTGGATGTCTTGATGTGTGAGATGATTCTGCTGGATAGATCTTCATCATCACCGAACCTCCTCCTGAAGTACTCCTCCTTCTGGGCATCAGTGAAACCTCGTACTTCTGTTAACCTGTCAACACATGAAGGCGGGATCTGATTGGCAGCTGCAGGTCGAGAAGTTATCCAGATGAGAGCTGAGGGGAGCAGATTCCCCTTGATGAGGTTTGTGAACAGTGTGTTTAACGATGAATTCTGTGTGACATCAGACACAACCTTCCTGTTTTTGAAGTCCAATGACAGTCTGCTTTCATCCAGGCCATCAAAGATGAACAACAGTTTACAGACAGCGAGCGTCTCTGCTGTGACCTTTTGTAATGTTGGATGGAAAACATGGAGCAGCTCAAGAAGACTGTACCTCTTCTCTCTGATCAAGTTCAGCTCCCTAAAAGAAAGCAGGATCACCAGACTGAGGTCTTGGTTCTCTGAGCCCTCTGCCCAGTCCAGAGTGAACTTCTGCACAGAGAAGGTTTTTCCAACACCAGCGACGCCATTTGTCAGAACCACTCTGATGGGTTTCTGTTGGTCGGGTTGAGCTTCTGTCTTTTGTTTCTGTTGGTCGGGTTGAGCTTCTGTCTTTTGGTTCTGTTGGTCGGGTAAGACTTTAAAGATGTCCTGGCACTTGATTGGAGTCTCATGGAGGGTCTTCTTTTTAGAGTCTGTCTCAATCTGTCTCACCTCATGTTGGGTGTTCACCTCTTCACACTGTCCCTCTGTGATGTAGAGCTCAGTGTAGATCATGTTGAGGAGGGTTCTACTTCCTGTTTCATCACTTCCTTCAGTCACATGTTCACATCTCCTCCTCAGACTGACCTTATGTTCATCTAAAACCTCCTGCAGACCTCTATCTACTGAAAGAGAGAATGATAGAATCTGCTTATTGTTTTCAAATGTTATTGTAAAAGAAGTAAAAAATAGTTTCAATGTTTAGATTTTTTACATTTACTAATAAAAGTCCCGTTTTTGGAGGAGATCACAGAAGCAGAAAGGTGTACTGTCTTACTGTCATGTCTGCTGTGTAAAACAAGGGAGGAGGACCCAAGTGCAGAACAGCTAAAAATATTTATTCAAACAAAAAGAAAAAATGCAAAAACAAGGCTTACTTTCCAAAAAGTCCGACAAAAATCCAAAAGGCAAAACACAGAGAGGAAGAGAACAAGTGACATACAACAATGATCTGACAACACAAGGGAAGGAACACAGAGACACAGGGTACCTCCTAGTTCACTTAATTGCATCCAAGTGTCCTCCACTTGCGTCTTAGTCCCTCCCACCAGAGATGCATGGAGAGATGCAAGGAAACAAAGCAGAGGAGAGAGGAAATGAGGAGATATGTTTCAAGAGACGAGACGTCCTATCCTCTACTGCGTCACGTGAAGCCACGTCCACTTGTGATGACATCAGCTGATCACGTTCAGCTGTCAGTCGGCCTTAACAGCTGTTTATGTCCGCGAAAATACGCACTGTGTTATTTCTAATAAAATACACACAGTATCAGTGTTTAATCTCTTTATGTTACCTGATAGCAAACACCTGAAGAACAACCTGCAGTCTGCTTCAAACCAAAAGGACAATTTCTACTGACAAAAAGATTTACTATTGAATTGTTTAATATTAAACAATTTGTTTTGACTAATAATTCGACAATGAACTCTGTATTTTATAAACACAGATACTTATGTCTCAGGAATACTGACAATTATTTACAAGTTCTAAATAATAGAGAAAAAAAAGTGACATTTTCCAAACAGAAGATCATTAATGATCAGTCTGATATGAAACTTTATAAACGTAAATAATGATGAATGTAAAACGTGTTTCTGGCTGACAGACTCCCTCTGTCAGCAAGGGCAAACAGTCTGAGTGATCATGAAAAGAAAACTATTATGAAGAAACCATTTATGATCTTTTGACTTTAACACTTCAACAGACTTTTTGTTTGACAGTTAATCAAAAACAAATCAAATGTCGGGAGTGATCGGCCTACACTCCATTATATTGATTTTATAGAACTTATAGCTCATCACAGACTGACTCTTTACAAACTAACAGATGTTTATAATCTGTTTAAATGTCCGACGATCCTCGATCCTCGAGCGTGGACCGAGGAGACAGCATTTAAGAGAACTGAGATGCAGGGTAAATAGACACAGGGTGAGACTAATAACACAGGTGAAGACAATGAGGCAAATCAACACTGGAGGGAAACACACAGAGGCAGGAATATAATCCAAGAAACACTGAGGACAACTACAAACTAAATTATGAAACACTAAAGATACACAGAACTCAAGAATGTAACAAAACACACTAGGATACGAAGTTACAACATAACACATAACACATGAAACACTAAAGACTAACCTAGAAAACACACAAGGGAAACAACATCATCAGGGAAGAATGAGAACTAAATACAACAAGAAAATCTAAACTCTGAAAATCTACAAAATAAGAAACAAAATCAGACCAAATTATGACACTTACTTTGTTCAGTGCTGCTCTGACTGGCTGACTGCAGTCCAGGTCCTGTTCTGGATCTTTCTCCACACTGAGGACAGGACGAGTCTCCTGGTGAACCAGACTGGTCCCAGTATGAGGTGATGCACTGTCTGCAGAACCAGTGTCCACAGCTGGTAGAGACGGGATCCTTCAGGACATCCTGACACACAGGACAGGATGGCTGATCCTCTATAACATGAGTCCTCTTCGTCCCCCTGTGAAGACATGTCTTTAGAACTAAACTGATCGTTGACTGATAGAAAATATGAATATTTATCAAACACAATGTAAACAATGACTACATGAGGATTCTGGTGGATCCATCACATCAGGTTCTTAGTTCTTTTGTTTTCTGAGTCCTCAGATTCGTCTCGTAGCGATGTTTGATGTTACCACATTTACAGATCACAAGCAGATAACTAAGTAACAAAAGCCACACATAAATTGGTAGACGGTACAGACCTTACAACTGATATTGATTCCATTTTTCTCATTGACTGTTCAACTATATATTTGTTAAATATGTTGTTTTTGAAAATGTGTTTAACTGTCCTAATGTTTTACATGTTTTCATTTCATCACTGCAGCTGTTCCATAAATTAACACTCGTAGTTGTGATGATGATGATTATACTGACATTCACACTCTATACTTAGTTAAAGTAGTTAGTTCATCATTTCATTATTTGATATCTGTTCAATAAATTGCCTTTGATACGCCTTAAAATGGTGTATCTCCCATATTTGTCATGCCAAAAAAGCCAGGGTGTGACAGTTTGTTAAACATCATTAAAGAGAAGATTAAAAACGTCATGAGATGAATTGCAACATAGGAACGGAGATCCGTCGGACAAAACATAAAAATAACGACAACAATAGTTATCAGGCATTTTTCACATAAGAAAGCATATCTTAAAAATGAGTTTCGACTTTGAGACAAAAGACATCCAGCAGACACAACACCTAGCCCAGCTAAAGCTAGCTAAAACATGACTAGCAACGATGTGGCGCTACTGGAGGAGTTGAAGAAACTCCGCAAAGAAAAATCAAGATGGGCATAATAATACCAAACTGTCTCTTGAACAACTGGAACAGGCCGTTACGGACATAAAAGACCAACTGGGTAAACATGAAGAGAGAATTGAAAACTTAGAAGAAAGGGTTGGCTTGGCAGAAGATACGTCAGCAGAGGGTGCTGCGATACCCTTTTCACCGTGATATTGACCTCTCAGCCACCTGGGAAGACCTCCGGCTGAGACGGAACAAGGTGAGAATCTTTCAGATCCCAGAAGGAAGTGAAGGAGGAAACATGATCCACTGCAAAAAGTGCTCAAAGGTCCAGACATGGACTTTAAGATTGAAAGGGCACATCGCTCCCTTCTGTCTAAAGATCCAGCAGCCCCTCCAAGTGAGACTCCTGGATGCTGCAGTAAAGGATGCGCTCATATGGCATGCATGGTGTCCACGAAGTCATCAAGCAACTTAAAAAGAAAGATATACAAGCCAGATGCCTGAACCCAGCACACCTGAACCTCAATCTAAACACCTGGACCTGGGGGCTACACCTCAACCCTGAAAGTTTGAAGGTCGAGAGGACCGACTGCGTGGACAGCGGCTGTCACCTCGGAATCCGATGAACGAGAAAACCTCCTAATTCACGGTAAAAACATTCTGATTTCACAATTTAAAAGTCAAAGGTCACTGTGTATTCTAGGACAAAATTGAAAGGTTAAGTTTCTTCCATCTTACGGCCCTAAAACTACGAGGTAGTTAGAATAAAGGAAGTTCAGTTAACTTCGCCAGGCCTGGAGGAGTTCAGGTGACTCCTTGAATCCGGTAAACTTGGAAAGACCAGTGTAAAGGTAGAAATTTACACAGATTGATCGGGGACGCCCGATAATCTTACAGGACAGACACCATAGAGTCTGCAGGGAGCAAGATGGACGGGGCTGACCTGCAAGGTCCAATTTTTTCCTGCCCCCACAGCCACAGCAGCTCCTCACACACATTACACGCCCCACGCAATGAAGAGCCGTTTTGCACTGATACACTGTGTTATGGGTTGTGTTGTCTGTGTGTGTCTCCCCTCCCTCTCTGAGTTCCTGGACAGGTTGGTGCTCCGCCCATCTCTGGGGGAGACTGATGGAGAAGTGGAATCACCTGTGTACGCATGCAGCAGATGAATAAAAGGCACGGGGTGCAGGCTGCAGAGGGGGGAAGACAAAGAGTCATATCCGTGTGCTGGGACGCAGGCTGCTGGAGTGCCAGATCGTCTCCGTTGCAGTTGTTCTAAATTTGTGTACTTTTGTGGGTGCACCTAAAGCTGGTCATTTCTTGTGTGTTTCCTGTACAATTAAATACAGCGACTATTATTTTTGAAACCGAACTCTGGTCTCTACCTTGATTCCTGGTAAATATAAATTTGTTGTGTCCCCTAGAACTACGGGGAACGTAACACACTGCTTGGCTTAGTTCAACAAAAAATAAATGTTCTAGAAACCCCTCCCAAACCAAAGGAGGGTACTTATACCTGTCTCTTCTCTGAAGCTTATGAGTAAATGCCAATGATAACATGTTACGTTAAGGGACATAATGTCAAATTTTTAGTTGACTCAGGAGCCACCCACTTAGTTTTAAAAACATCTGAAATGACTTTGCCTGACAGTGGCCGCTTTTCATGGTCCACGAGTGCCTGTGGTTCTTGTGTAAAGGAAAAGTATGGGATCCCTGTCAACTGTTCATGGGAGTTTGAGGGAGTACAAACAAAAGCTAAACATTTGTTTTTAATGTCCAGCATGTGCCCGGTTAACCTTCTGGGAAGAGATTTAATGTGCGCTTTTGGCATTGTGATAACCTCCACCCAGAGGGCTTACGGGTCAGCAGGACTGACACGCGTTCCCCTCCCCCACTGAAGCCAGGGGAGTAACACATTTTACTGGCGTTCATTTCAGCCTAAATACTCCCCTGTATGCTTATCAGTGGTGGATAAATTACATATCTGCTCAGTTTTTAACTAATACAGCACTCACACTTGTTTCCAACACCGCTGAGAAGTTGAAGCCAGAAAATTTACACTGCACCTCTTATGTCTGCTCCGAAGGGCCTAACCCGGAGTATGAAAAACAATTTTTCAAAGATCTGAATGACAATGATTTGATAACCGACATTTACACAAATGGGACACACTGTGCAGCATCTGTCAAGCTTACTCCAGCTCAGATGAAACTCTATGACATATACGGTTCACACCCCCACATCTCTCTCTCAAAAGCTCCCACCGGCAGGTGGTGGGATCTGGGTCCGTTTGTAGCTCAGTGTAGTGAAGCAAATGACTGGCAGCCTGCCACTGGAAGTTCGTGTGTGTTTTTCTCTCACTCACTACAGGAATACAGGCATCCTTTAACTATGAAAATTAATTTTGTCCACTGAACACATCTCATAGATGATATGAGAAGTCGCACTTCCTCATATCTATTTCAAACGCTCTCACATGCAGAGTTCTCACCTTTGCTGGCACAAGTCCCTAGTACACTCTGGGCACAGATAAAAAACCGTGAACCAGTTCAGATAATCCCAAAGTCAATTTACAGACTCCAACAACGCCAATACCCACTCAGAAAAGAAGCTATAGAGGGCATAACACCAGTTTTTAACTCTCTCCTCGAGGTGTGAAGATTCACCAGTACAGACTCCGATCTTTCCTGTAAAAAAGATCTGTCCTGCCGGACAGCCCACAGTCTGGCATTTTGTGCAGGACCTACAAGCTGTAAACTCTGCCATCATCGCCCCTAATCCTAATGTTCCCAATCCATACACCATTCTCAGCCAGATTCCCTCTTCTGCTAAATGGTTTTCCGTTGTGGACCTGTCTAATGTTTTTTTCTCTATCCCCGTTCAGAAAGACTCCCAGTTTTGGTTTGCTTTCCACTTTGGAGATAAGTGTTACACACCTTGACACAAGGCCTGTGCCAAGGACTGACCTGCAGCCCTACAATTTTTTGTCAGGCTTTGTCTCGCAGTCTCTCCCCTGTCACACTCTCTCCAGGTTCAGTCTTGCTGCAGTACGTTGATGACCTTCTCATTGCAGCCCCAACCAAAGAACAGTGTGAGACAGACACCATCCTCCTCCTGCGCCATCATGCTGAAGAAGGCCATAAAGCATCCCTGTCTAAACTACAGTTTGTAAAACAGGAGGTGACTTTTTTAGGCCACATCCTCACACCACAGGGCAAATCTCTCTCTCCCTCTCGGGTTAAAGCAGTGGCAGAGACACCTAAACACATGACTAAAAAACAAGTTCTTTCTTTACTGGGCATGTGTTCTTACTGTCGACATTTTATTCCCAATTTCTCAGAGAGACCACTGAGAGACATCGCACACAAAAGAGACCTGACAGCTTCCAGCCCCATCCAGTGGACTGAGGAGGCAAACACTGTGTTTGAAAACCTTAAACTGTCCTTGCAGTCCACCCCAACCTTGGGCATCCCAGATCCAGAGAAGCTATTCACACATTTTGTTGATGAAAAACATGGCTGTATGACCTCTGTTCTTTTACAGGCTCATGGGGGTCAGCTGAAACCTGTTGACTACTTCTCCCGCTTACTAGACCCTGTTGCCAGAGGCCTCCCAGCATGCTTGCGGCCAGTGGCTGCCTGCAAGTCTGCAGTGCTAGCCTCACGTGACTTTGTGGGTTACACCCACCTTGACCTTCTGGTGCCTCAATCTGTTGCATCTATCCTACAGGAACAGAAAACATCACACCTCACGCCAGCACGATGGCTCAGATATCACACCACACTTCTAGGTTTACCAAATGTTCATGTCAAAAAATGTGCCGTGCTTAACCCTGCCACCCTCATGCCTTTACCGGTGAGGGTGAACCCCATTCTTGTCTTGCAGAACTCCAACACCCCTGCATCCCGAGACCGGACCTGAAAGATGTACCTCTCACGAACCCTGATCTCATTTTCTATGTTGATGGTTCTGCTTTCAGAGATCCTGCACGGGGCACAGCCCATGCAGGATTTTCTGTTGTTGATGATGTTTCTGTTGTTTGTTCCTCTCCTCTGCCTCACAACAAAGGACAAAACTCCAACTGATGACTGCAAGTCTACAAATAAAGATGGACATTTTTACCCGCAGGTGGAACTGTGTAAAATGATATCTGGGTGTCTAACCCCCAATTCACACATACTCTGTGCTAGCCGCGCACTACGCTGTACTTAGCTTCCACTCTAGTCAATCATTGTGTTCACACAGTGCGCGCTGCGTTCCGTCTCCGGAGCATGACATCAAAGGCACTACACTCTGCTCCGTTTCAAATACGCTGAGAGTCTATTTTCGCCGGAATACGCTGCAGGCACGCGTCAAGCTGGACAGATTATGACCGCCCGTACAGGAAGTCAGACAAGGAAACGCACAGAGCATCCGGTCAATTTCGAAATAAAACACAATATACGGACTCGCGATCGTATTTTTCATCACTTTATCAACATTACGTCAAAACAGGTACCTTTTTATTTATTTACTTTATGTGCCACTTAAGTATTATTATTATATATCATTCTAGAGAAAGGCCTATGTCAAAAAATTTCCTGTTTTATAAAAATGAAAAATAAACAGTTAAAAAAAAAAGAAAAAAGAAAGAAAGAAAATGAGTTTTTAAGTTTTCTTACTTTGTGTCTGAGGGTTCAGGTTCTTTACTGAAGTCTGGAGGAGGATATTTGGACAGATCACTCTTCAGAGACACACAGCTGGGTACAGGAGACTCTGCTCTCTGTCTGCTCCACTGAACTCTGCAATGACAAACTATTTTATATTTCTATCACGAATACCTCTTTAGATACCACAGCAACAAAAAACAGAAGTCGAGGTGATGTTCTTGTTTTGAATGACCAAGCTGCACACAGTGGTGATACAGAAAAGATCACTGAACAAATATGACAACATTTGACAAACAGGAAATATGGATTTTTAAAGAAGATCAAATGATTTCTCTTGATATCAGAAAGTTTAAGCTAGCAGGTTGATTTGAATCTGAAGTGAAAATGAGTTGTTAAGTTTTCTTACTTTGTGTCTGAGGGTCCAGGTTCTTTACTGAAGTCTGGAGGAGAATCTTTGGACAGATCACTCTTCAGGGACACACAGCTGGGTACAGGAGACTCTGCTCTCTGTCTGCTCCACTGAACTCTAAAACAAGTTTTATATTCAAATGAATCTTTAATAAACTCGCTGATGAAAATGCTATAAAAGAAGCTGTAAATACAAAAAGGGCTACAGCTGTGGATGATGAGAAGGTTTCCAGGTTTGTTGTCAGGAGGCTTACTTTATGTCTGAAGGTGAAGGTTCATTCTTGAAGTTCATAGGAGGATGGATGGACTTCAGAGACACACACCTGGGTTCAGGAGACTCTGCTCTGTCCTCCTCTAAACACACGTCCATGTTCTGATCTGAAGTCTGAGAGGAAAAACAGAAACACTCAGTGAGAGATCAACACACAAGAAACAAGAGAAACCAGTTTCACACACACACACACACACACACGAACACTTTCACTTTCACTGTCCCACCTCCTGTCATGAGCCCAGATCAAGTGTCGCTCCTCCCTCCTCCATTTACAGGAAATCAGGTGTGTGTGTGTGTGTTTTTGTGTGTGTGTGTGTGTGTGTGTGTGTGTGTGTGTGGGGTGAGGGAGGTGTGTCACATTAACTGGGTCAGTGCTTCAGCAAGCAGCATAATACATTTTAGAGCAGCAAAAAAAGCAAAAACAGAGCCTGGCCTGATGTGAGGTCAAACTACGTATTCAAAAACAAATCGAGTTCCGTCACGCTCGGGTTGGGTTGCAAACCTCTACCTCATATAAAATTGATATTGTTATAATGTTTTCCAAATGTCCATTTTTTTACACAACTCTGTTTAATAAAATCTTAAAGATTCCATCTTACTGTCGGGAACAGCCGGTCCAAATAGGAACCAATTTAATAAATGTTCATTTATTTTATCAATTTAATTTGCTGCTTCTGATAACATTCACACTAACCTGTCGACCAGAGTTGGAAGGGTTGGGTCCTGTGTTTTTCAAACTACGGTTAACCAGCTGTTGAAAGCGGTTAGCTAAAGATTGCAGTGTCACCGGTTCATCTTCTTGGCTAAAGGGTTGCTCACTGACATGGGAGGGGTGTAATGTCTCCAAATGTCTTTTCACTTTATTGGGTCTCATGCTGTCAGCTGCCAGTTTTTTAGGCACAAAACTCAAACGGGTCTCTCCTCCTCTCCTACCACATTCACTGTGAATCCAAGGAAAAGATATGCCTCCTCATACTTCATGGATTTGGGCTTTAGCACTTGGTCATCATCGCCGTTGCCCGACTTGATTTTTTTTTTTCACTGTTGAAAATCATGTGTCCATTTTGCGACCTCTCTTTCTCTCGTTAGCTCACGCTGCCGCTGCCTCTCTCTCTCTCTCTCTCTAAATGTGAAAATGTTGGACAGCCCAAACGAGAATGCTGACATCGTAAACGCAAAGCCGACAGTGAGAGCAAAAGTCTTGTCAGTGAGAAAGAATAAGAGTGAACTGTAAACAAAAGGACTGATGATAAGAAAAGAAAAAGGCTGATTATTTAGACCATTACATATATTTTAGTAGTAATGGGTTTTACTTTTTACTTTTTTTGCAATTTAAAAAGTTTTGTTTGATTTTTTTTGATAGTCTTGTTCTTAGTCTTTTACATCCAGTCTCAAGAACCTTTCAGCCTGTTCTAGTTGTTGTAATTTACCGCCCTCCTGGCCCATATTCTGAATTTCTATCTGAATTTGCAGAATTTTTATCAAATTTAGTCCTTAGCAGTGATAGAATAATTGTTGTAGGTGACTTATCCATGTGGATGTTGATAATGATAGCCTTAGCACAGCTTTCATGTCATTTTTAGACTCTATTGGTTTCACCCAGGGTGTAAACGAACCTACTCATCGTTTTTACCACACCCTGGATCTTGTTTTAGCTCTGGCATTGAAATCCAAAACCTTACAGTTTTCCTAGAAAATCCTCTTCTATCAGACCATTTCCTTATTACATTCGACTTTGTCCTATCAGAATAATCTCTGCTTAATAAAAATGTGCTCTCTAGAAGTTTATCTGATCGTGCTGTAGCTAGATTTAAGGAAGCTATTTCAGCTGCTTTTGATTCAGTACCGTGTTTCAACCCAGTTGAGAGTTACTATTGATTAGATTGCTCCCCTAAAACAGAAGGTTATCAAATGGCAGAGATTAGCTCCATGGTTCAACTCAGAAACCTGTACTCTAAAACAATCGTCACAGAATTTTGAAAGAATATGGCGCTCAACCAAAACAGTAGAATCTCGTTTATTCTGGCAGGATAGTCATAGAAACTATATGAAGGCTCTACGTCACACTCGAGCTGCCTACTACTTCTCTCTAATCGAGGAAAACAAAAGCAATCCTTGTATTCCTTTAGCCCTCAGCAGTAATGATTTCCTGAGCTTTTTCAACAACAAAATTCTAGACATCAGAGACAAAATTGGTAACCTCCTGCCCTTACCTGGTGCAGCTATGTCTGATATGGCAGAGACAGTTCCAGGACCAGATATTAGTCTAGACTGTTTTTCTCCAATCGACCTTTCAGAGCTAAATTCAATTATTTCTGCGTCAAAACCGTCAATCTGTCTTTTAGACTCAATCCCAACCAAGCTGTTTAAGGAAGTATTTCCCTTTGTTAGCAACTCTATATTAGTTATGATCATTATGTCTTTACTGGCAGGCTATGTACCACAGTCATTTAAAGTAGACTAGAACATTTACTTGGAATTACAGGGACTGCTTTAAGTTGGTTTGAATCCTACTTATCAGACCGATCTCAGTTTGTACATGTTAATGATAAGTCCTCTATGCACACCAAAGTTAGCCATGGAGTGCCACAAGGTTCAGTGCTTGGACCAATTCTCTTTACATTATATATGCTTCCTCTGGGAAATATTATGAGGAAACACTCCATACAGTTTAACTGTTATGCAGATGATACTCAGCTTTATGTATCAATGTAAGCTAGAAACGTGCCTTAAGGACGTTAGGACCTGGATGACCAGAAATGTTTTGCTACTTAACTCAGACAAGACTGAAGTTATTGTGCTAGGACCTAAAAACCTCAGAGAGACTTTTTCTAGTGATGTGACTGTCCTTAATGACATCAGCCTGGCATCTAGCACCACTGTTAGGAATCTAGGAGTTCTATTTGATCAAGATATGTCCTTTAGCTCTCACATCAGGCAAATTTCAAGAACAGCCTATTTTCACCTTCGTAATATATCCAAGATCTGGAAAATCCTGTCGCAAAATGATGCAGAAAAACTAGTTCATGCATTTGTTACCTCCAGGTTGGATTATTGTAATTCTCTTTTGTCAGGGTGGGACTCTAAAGACTCGTCAACTAGTCCAGAACGCTGCAGCTCATGTACTGACTAGAACTAGGAAAAGGGACCACATTACTACTATGTTGGCTTCTCTGCACTGGCTCCCTATACAGTCTAGAATAGAATTCAAGATCCTTCTTCTCACTTACAAAGCTCTAAATGGCCAGGCACCATCTTATCTTAAGGAGCTACTAGTGCTGTACTGCCCCTCAAGAACATTACGGTCCCAGAATGCAGGTCTGCTAGTGGTACCTACAGTCTCTAAGGGAGGTAAAGCCTTCAGTTATCGGGCTCCTCTCCCCTGGAATCGTCTTCCAGCCGGGGTCCGGGAGGCAGACACAGGCTGTATTTTTAAGAATAGACTTTTTTGCCAAGGGCTGCTACAATGAAACTCGATGACCTTTTTGATAAATCTTATAGTTAGGGCTGGTGCTGGTGTAGACCAGCTCCTAGTTACAGTATGCTGCTATAGGCTTAGACTACCGGGGGAACTGGCACCTTGAGCTCATATCTCTCTCTCTCTCTCTCTCTCTCTCTCTCTGCATATACAGTACATCATATTACTGCATGTATCTATCTGTAAATCAAAGTCACTAACCACCTACTTTCCTGGGAGCTCTTGAGCTCTCTTAGGCTCCTTGAAATCGTTGGTTGACGGCCTGCCAGTTGACGGCCTGCCAGTTGACAGCCTGCCAGTTGACGGCCTGCCAGAACAGGGTCGGGCCTGGTTAGTAATTGGATGGGAGACTGCCTGGGAATACCAGGTGCTGTAAGCTTCTTCATTTTTTTTATCATATGATGATAGAGACATATTCACATGTCCAAAAATTCAGCCAGAATCAATGCTCCACCACATTATGGCTGAGGGCATGAGATCTTTTAAAGGCCCCTTTCTGCACACAATAATCGCTTACGGCCGTACAACCCTGAACACGTCCGATCTTGGAAGCTAAAGTTCTCAACTTTTACATTATGAAAATTTTTGACTTTTTTTAAATCCAAAATCCTGTCATGAAAACTTTAAACTTCTTTGAAGCAGAAATCTTTTCATAAAAATTTTCAACTGTTTTGAAGGTGAAATTTTTTCATGAAAATGTTCGACTTTTTTGAAGCCGAAAACTTTTCATGAAAACGTTCCACTCTTTGATGCCGAAATCTTTTCATAAAAATGTTCAACTTTTTTGAAGGTGAAATTTTTTCATGAAAGTTCTCAACTTTTACTTTATGAAAATTTTTGACTTTTTTTAAAGCCGAAATCCTGTCATTAAAATTTTAAACTTTTTTGAAGCCGAAATCTTTTCATGAAAATGGGCTAGCTTCTGCCACCGGCAGACTTTGGTGGCGAGAAGCGAGCTGTGCGAGAGGACCCTAGTTGACCTGGCCGGTTTTCTGTACCAGACTGTGCTGATGTTACAGATACACACTCCCGATGCCTTCAGTTCAGTGACAGCTATGTTCGCCCGAGTCTGTGCTTTGTGGTTTGAACAACCTAGACCTGTGCAAAGAGAACAAAAAAAAGAAAAATCATCGTATATACGATTCCGTAGACACTCGCTAAGCAAGCCCCGGCTGGCATCCTCGCGATCCCGCTTATACTCGGTGAAAAGATGTCTTTTAGTCGGAAGGAGTGTGTTTTCGCCCACACCATGACCAAGGTCAGTCAGGCCCATCAGCCCGCAGTGTTCAAAATCGACTTGGGTGACCTGATACCCTTGGGGGACTGCAGCGCTCTGTTCGCGATTGACAACATGAGCGTTACTGCGTACAAGCAAGGCACCTTGGAAATAATACCGGTCAAGTTCACTGTACTCGATGACAACAAGAAGAGGGTCCTCACGAACAATCCGTGCAAACTTTCCTCCAAGTGGCAGGTCGACGTTAACGGCGGAGGAACCTGTGTGAAGATAGCGGGTACCGACACCGTACCGTTTAATCACACCCTATCTGTACACGACGAAGAAAACAGGCAGGCTCTCGTGAACATCTTGGCTTACATGATGTCAAACAGCCTCTGGACCTCGGACAGAGCGAGAGGGTCTCTGAGCACCCTCACGGAGAGTGACTGGGGGGAGTTTGAGTTCACGTGCGACCTG